TTTATATGACGGGTTGGGAAAAAGGAAGAGGGAAAAGAGGAATGGAATGTTAATGAAGACATCAAAAAGCGGGCCATGGCTGTCACACCCGGTGATTTTCCGCATCTTTAAAGGACCTCGAAACCTCGCGGACCCGCCAAGCAAGCGGCCGATGGCGCTAGAGCACATTTGGGCGGCATTTGAGCACATTTTGGCCGCGGGAGCCAATCAGCAGCTGCAGAGCTCAAGGCCCGTCCGAAAGCATGGCCGGATTAGCAGGTGGGGATTGAGCAGATTATTACTACTCACTCTTTCATTATTCATGATTCCCTCTCATTTTCTCTCAATTACACTCAAATCGACTATACCAGCATTGGCATCGGGTTTGATCTCGGGCCTTCAGTCTCTCGTTTTCGCCTAATTGTCATTCGCTTCCTCCTCTTTCGTCCCCCGCGACATGTACATTGTGCCATGTCTTTCGACCATCATGCCTTGAACACCCAGATACTGCTAATCCTTCATTTCTAGTATATACTGATCTCTTTTTTTCTTGATACCCTAATCCCGGAAGACAAATCTACATACCCGCAAGATGGACATGTCCATGTCTGGCATGGGCCACATGTCCATGGGAAATGGCGTGCCTGGTCTGTTCTATTTGCAGAAGATGTACTGGGCTGTTGTAGGGAGTGCCATCGCTGCTGGAACCGTCATCAACGTCTTGAATCGCTTCCTCGCCTACCAAGGGTAAGTATATTAACGTTTATCGAAGTACATTATGCTCATTCTCCCAGGTTAAAGGACTCGTCCTTGACCCCCTCCAAGCCCAAGTCTATCTTCTTCAGCACATATGCCACCTTAACGGCCATCGTGCGTGAAGCAAGCTACGCGACTTTGCCCCCATTGTCATTTCGCGGCCACTCCTATCACTTTGCGCCGTTGGGCCCTGTGGCCATCATCCTGGCCAACCTCATCGTCGTGCTCGTCTTTTGTTTCTACAAGCTGGACACGGCCGACCAATGGAAATGGGAAGATGTGGGCTACCGCACTGGGTTTATCGCCATTTGCCAGCTGCCGTTGATCTTCCTCCTGGCGGGCAGGCAAAATCTCATCGGCATGCTCGTGGGCATGAGCTACGAGCGTCTCAATTGGTTTCATCGGTGGATCGCGCGGACGCTGTGGTTGACCGCTACCATTCACATGTGCTTCTGGTTTCGTGACTGGGGCCGCTACAACTACATCGTCTATGAGCTGAAGAACTACACCCTGGCGACGAGAGGCTTCGCCGCATGGATCATTCTGACCTTTATCGTGATTACGTCCGCCGCCCCGATTCGACGGTTTGGGTACGAGTTCTTCGTTCTGCAGCATCTGGTGACCTTTGTTGGCTTCACCGTAGCCGTGTGGCTCCACGCACCGGCAGAAGTCAAGGTGTGGGTGTGGATTCCGATCGGTTTTCTTGTCTTCGACCGGGTGGCGCGCTACGTGTGGGCAACTTATGCGAACTTGTCGATATTCCATCGTTCGAAGAGCCCGGCCCATGCCCTTTGGGCTAATCGGGCGACTTTCACCCCGTTGCCAGGCAATGTAACTCGTATAGCGATTGAAAATCCCGGAGTCGGGTGGAAGCCGGGTCAGCATGTGTTTCTCACATGCCACTCCATCGTGCCTCTGCAGAGCCATCCTTTTACCATTGCGTCTATTCCGGAAGACAACAAAATGGTGATGTACGTGCGCGCAGAAAAGGGCGGCACTCGACGCTTCTTCCGATATGCTTCGAAGAACCACCAGGTGCTTGGGACTAGTGACCAGGTGCCCGCGAAGCGGGCACGTACAGTCTTTATTGAGGGGCCGTATGGGCAAATGCGACCTCTGAAGCAGTTTGACAGCGTGATTCTACTCGCTGGAGGCATGGGAGCGACGTTCACTGTGCCGTGCCTGCGGGATATAGTCGCCAAGTGGAAGGCTGAAAACACACGGCGGCTCGCAGCAACCAAGCGGATTCGGTTCATCTGGGTGATCAAATCGCGCACGCAGCTGAGCTGGTTCGACCACCAATTGCAGGAAGTGTTGAGGGATGTTGAGGAAGTTCGGCTCGCCAACCCAGACCTCATCCGAGAGATCGAGATGAGCATATATATCACTTGTGACGAGAAGCTGGAGCAACCGGCGCAAAACACGCTCTGCGCCCAGGAACAGTCACTATTACAGCTGCAGACGACCCTACCCGCGAACGAGAAGTCTCTCGAAGCGGAGAAATCAGCGACCGATGCTGTAGTCATTGAGTCTGTAGAGCAGACCGGGTGTCAACCAGACAGAAACTGCTGCTGCACCGCTCCCATCAAAGATGAAGATGCCATCGACGCTACGAATTGCACATGCTCGGGGCATGCCGCGCCGCAGTCGTCCACGACAAGCGAGCTCGCAACAGAATCGGACTCGAAGCCTGCGCAGAAACCACTACCCAATCTTACAGTCCTGTCTGGTCGACCGCACGCGCGCACGATCATCCGCAAGGTCCTCGAGAAAGCCGAGGGCGAGAGCGCGGTAGTGGTGTGCGGACCCCGGGGACTGTCCGACGACGTGCGACGCAGCGTGGTGTGTCTGAGCGATGAGCGGGCAGTACACAAGGGGACAGGGGCGCAGGGGATATATTTGCATGTTGAGCAGTTTGGGTGGTGAGCTATAAGCATATGTACATAGATAATGATACCCTTTACTTCACTTTCAATGATGACTCGATGAACTAAATGATGCAATCTACTGCTTAAATGAATTCACATACATGGCTATACCATATTATGACTGTAAGCCAGCCAATACTCAACAAACAGCCGCGTTAACAGTAAAACCCAAAAGAAAGAATAGCAAAAGTCGGGCACCCAAACGGGCAACCAAATATCAACACTAGTTACTCCGTACTATGGAGTGAGTCAAATCATATGACGTAATCAGCAAGACCCAACCACCAACCACTCCAATTATCTCCTCCAGAACAAACAACAGACAGACAGACAGACCCCTGCCAATACCACTCAGCACATCAACACAACACAACCTTATCACCTACTTACACCTACCATCTAACCTCCATCCCCCTCAACTCAACCCAACCAACATCCAAAATGGTCTTCCGCTTCGTACGCACCTCCCTTAATCCCAACCTCCCATCCCCCAATCCCACCCCCAAACTACCAGCTAATAACGGAAATAATTGAACAGGCCAAAACCCTCGACCCGATAACCCTCTTCCACTCCCCGCAGCTAGCATCTAGCAAATCCGCCCTCAGCATCCTGCAACGCGCATCCACAACGGCAGCCAGCACGACATCTACTCCGCGAGGCGAATTCCAACTCGAAGTGAGCACGGCCCCGCCGACGAGCGACCAGTTGCGGAATATACTTGATTATGTGTCGGGTAGTGGTGCGGGAGGTGGTTCGGGGGTCGGGAAGGTGTATAAGGTTGAAGAGGTGGTGAGGGGGGCGAGGGATGCGGAGGATGCGATTAAACGGTTCAAAGCGGATCCGGAGGGATCTTTTGTGAGGCCGATTGTAAGTGATTTGAATTGTTTTTTGAGGGGAAGGGTTAAGGGGGATTGTGCTAACGGGTTTCGCTGGGGCTAGACGGTCGATTGGACGAAAGGACAGGCTGTTGTTGGGGATAATGAGTCGGAGATTTTGAAGATGGTGCAGGAGTTGAACTGAGCAATTTACTATTCTGTTCAAGTGTATACTGCGAATTGATGTATGCAGGGATGTTTCTACGATAGCTGTATCATACACAACTCCTTTCTCATACCACATCCCATTGGTAATGCCATTAAAACCGTACTCGCTAAAACAATCCTCGAGATCCAGCTCGTGCCCGAATAGAACTCCCGTGATTCATACAGCCTAAAACATCGTTCCGAATGATCCGTCCGTCGCGATCGGTTTGCGCGGTGAGCCGCGTCCCAGCCCGTCCATGGCCGGCTTGCGGTGTCTGTTGTTGTTGTTAGCATGTCCCTGCAATCACACAGCTGATGGAGGCGTACCGGAATGTAAATCCAACAAATAATCCCTTGCTCATCTTATCATCACGCTCCGCCATCTCTTCCAGCGCGCGTTGCTTGTCGTGGACCTCCTTGTACTTGGCCATGTCCGCTTCGTTGGTAAAGTCGTCAAAGTAGCCCGCGTCTGTCTCCGAATCCAGCTCGGGCACAAACGGCGCACGCTGCTCGCGCAGATGGTTAAAGTCCACCTCGCTGAAGTAGTCGTGCGCGTGGATTTCCTGAATGTTCTTGAATCGCTTCTCCTTCGAGGCCACCAGCTTGGTGATCAAGTCCCACGTGCGTCGCGACAGGAAGTAGTTCGGGTCTTCGTATACCGGCTTGCGGAGCACCTTTTGCCAGTTCTTCAGGTTCTGCCACGTCTCATCTACCGTCGCGCCTGCAAATGGCGGGTATCCGGCGAGGGCCTCAAAAAGCATGCATCCCAAGCTCCAGTAGTCGACCGTGAAATCATACTGTTCTCCCTTCAACACTTCTGGGGCCATGTAGTCAGGCGAGCCAACAATCGACTTGGCGTAGTTGACCTGGCGCTCTCGCAGCGACCGATATCCCTGGCGACGCTCTGCCACCGTGCGCTGTTCCATGGGACGACCAAAGGGCACCGGCGTGTTGCCAACCTCCTCCAGCTTCACCCGCATGGACTCAATCTTGCCAGGGTTCAGCATACCCGCCGCCAAGCCAAAGTCGGTCAGCTTAACGTGACCACTCGAGTCAATGAGGAAGTTCTCTGGCTTCAAATCGCGGTGAATGTACCCCAGCGCATGCAAGGCATCGATACAGCTGAACATCTCTGCAATGTAAAACCGCGCATGGCGATTGTGCAAGACTCCAGTGTTATTGAGCAGCGTGCGGAAGTCGCCTCCTGGGACATACTCCATGGCCAGGTAGATCTGGTCATCATCCTGGAAGGCGTAGAGCAGCTTGACCAACCAGTCGCTCTTCGCGGCCGTCAAGATATCACGCTCGGTGAGAATATGGCGGATCTCGTCCAACTTGAAAAGTAATTTCTTGCTCATAACCTTGAGCGCGCACACCTCCCGCGTATCCTTCTTCTGCGCCAGATAGACCTGTCCATAACCTCCCTGGCCCACTTGGGTCAAGATCTGAAAGTCGTGCTGGCGGAGTCGAGTGCGGCGTTTGCGGAGGTGGGCCCGTTCCCGACCCAGATATTTCAGCAGAGCGGGCTCATACGTCTCCATCGGAGTGGCGGGGGGTTCGGGGTTGGAAGAACGGAACTGCGCATAGCGGTTTTGGCGGTTGTGCACGTAGCTCAATAAATCAAAGTAATGATCGAGGAAGTCTAGACAGTTAGCCAATACACTGAGAGCACCTGCTGGGTATGGTACCTACAGAGCTGTGTCACATTTACCAGTCGCTTGACCCGGGGATTCTGCAGCTTCTCCAACTCCTCCGGGGTCAACCCCCGCATGGGCACCTGACGACGCTGGATGCTCTCGAGATCTCGTTGCTGGTATGGCTCATGACGGGAGATGGCAGCGGCCGCGGGGTTCGGACCGAGGTCTTTGGTGAGACGAGTGGAGTTGGGGGGAGTGTTTTCTTTGTTGGATTTGCGCGTGGGACTGCCCGGTGGCTGACGGATGACACTTTCGGTAAAGTCCTCGCCGGATCGGGGCGGCGCGAACATGGGGTGGTTGTAGTGGTTATAGGTGCCTTTGGTGGGAGAGGTGGGGTTCAGCTTGAGGGCTTTTTCGAACACGTTGGGCAGGTCGATTGCGCCGGGGGGCATGCGGTTTTTGCTGGGACTCCCTTGGGGGGTTTGCACAGGGCTAGTGAACCCAGTCTCAGCGGGCGTGGAGGGGCGATCGAGAGCTTCATTTCCGGCACGAGTATGAAGGAGTGGCGGCGGGTTGGGGAGACGGAGGCCTGGGCGATCTGAGGTGTCGATATTGAGAGCCATGTTGGGCTCGGAAGTGTGCTGGCGACCGTTCTCAACCGGTGGAGGTATGAATGAGCTCACAGGCACGGGTGTCTCTAAACAACGACCGCGAGGTAAGAGAGAGGTCGTGGCGGGGAGATTAAAAAGGAACGGGGGATAGGAAATTAAAGCACGAGTAGAGGGACTCAGAATCCCCAGCGAACGAAAAAAGAAATGCGATGGAAAACAAAAGGGAGATTTGAAAAAGCAAAGAAAGGGCGGAGACAGACAGGAAAAAGCAACGAGGCAGAAGAGGAGAGTGGATGAATGACTTTGTTCGGGCAGGAATGGAGAGAAGCAAGGACGAGGGTGACCCGACGAGAACAAGTCAGTCAGTCAGTCAGGGGAGAAAGAGACGATGCCCGATGGATTGAGTAGTGATGAAGAAGGAGAAGGAAGAAGAAGGACAGAGGAAGTTGTAGAAGTAGGGGCGAGAGGGGGAAGGAAGTCAAAAAAGTGAATATTCTCTCGCTCTCTCACTTTCTTTCTTTACTTTCTTTTCTTTCTTTCTCTCAAACTCATCCACTTTTCTCCTCCAAGTACAGTGTCTTTCTGGCAGGAAACCAATTTAACTTCAGCAAAAGATGAGCCGCAGCTGAAGCCCGCCACTCTGACTTGCAGGCCAACGAAATGCCTCCGATCCATCTCTGCGCCGCCCCTCTCTCAGCGACCATCGCAACGTTGCTGGGGTAACTCCCTTGTTCCGATCCCATCTGCTCCTCCAATGCCTGTTGCGATGCCAGGGCCAGCCGCGAGTCAATCTCGTTCCTGACGCCCTTTCGGCTGGTGATTGGGGAACTCGTGAGGCTGAGGATGGAGTCATGCTTTCCCACCACCAGTCAGATTGTCTCTGCACGTCATTTTCCCACTACATTTAGACGAGGGTGAGAAACTAGTGTCCAGCCATCGGGGTGAAACTAGTCGTAATTCTATATCTGGAACCTTGTTGGTGAGATCGTCTCCGATCCCATGGGGCAGATCTAAGATGGTAGCTGAGTTGATCATTTAGGAGGGGGGAAACCTTTTTAGTAGTGGTGATGGTGGTGTGGGTGATGTTTAAATCCCATCCCATCCATTGGGTGTATACAGCTCTGTGACAGTCACACAACAGTGTGTTCCGGTCCAGACTACAACAATTACATTCTTTAAATTGAAAGCGATTCCATATTGAAATAATGATGGTTGATTTAGAGAAAAGAGGGGTGCAATCCACCCATCGTCATCGCGCCCTGGTTCTTGTTTACACTTCCCGTAAACACAACCAAGGAACCGCTCCCATAATCAGTGGACCTTTTTGTCTACCAAACCATGGTTCATCCCCCAATCCATCCCAGCCATCAACTACTTTTCCCGCACATTTCCAGTTAAACTAGTGTGAAAACCCCTCCTCGATAATAAATAGCCCTTCCTAGCAGCAAGGCACTAACTCAACAACCCAGGATAAATCAATTACATCATCAATCAAGCAGTCTTGGCCCGTTGTCCCGTCTACCATCCAGTCAGTCAGCAACCAAAAAGCAAAACAATAATGAAGAGAAGCAAAAACAGAAAAGTAGACTCACGAAGAAAGCCAACCCATAAGACGGCGTCGTAAAAGTAACCTTACTCCCCTTGGGAAAATGAAACACATCGCCCGGAAACGCCTCAACCTTTTGGCCGGTCTCATCCGAGATCTCGAACTTGCCTTCCAGGATGATCTTCATCTCATCGAAGGTGTATTCGTAAACCAGCGGGGTGCCTTTTTCAAGACGGTAGAAACCGGCCGAGATGGGTTTTTCGGGGTTGTAGCTGTCACTATCCCATGCTTAGTGTTACAGATTAACAATAACAACTCACTCATACTATGATTCTGAGTGAAATAGTCAGAGAACTTGAAGGGATATACCTCGAATCCACATCCCCCAGAAAAGCATTCTCATTGGCAATGAGCGGAGGCTCGTAGGTTTGTTGAGATCGAGGGTGGTGCTTGAATGCGACGGCCATGATTGTTGCTTGCTGTGTAGACTTGATCTTTTGTAACCACAAATAGATAGTACTTAGATGCCAATCTGCTAGTATTCTATTCTCCTAAATAGCTAGACCAACACAACCATTATATACAAAAGCCCCCCAAGTCATTATCCTCGCACATCTCTGATCCCATTACCTACAATGGAGATCCTATACTCGTGCGGAGCAATCCATTCTCCTCTCCTTTGCTGTTTGTCTGTTCCCTTTCGCACGGATCTGACTTCTGTAGTAGGATAGATAGCACGCTGCGACAGACTATCGACACAAGATGCGACAATCCCAGCAGGAGTTCGCGAACTGAGGGGTAGTTAGTAAGCAAGCAAGCAAGCAGAAAAAGCCCTGATGAGGGGAAGATCAGTCAGTCTGCTCAGTTCCGGAAAGTTATCAGATAGGCCGGAGGAAACCGGGGTGAGCTTGATACCGATAAAGAGACGGAGACAGTATAGTATGTGCTACTATCAACTATGCCAGAAAAGAAGAATAGATAGGATACTA